AAAGAGAGAAGAAAAGAAGATAAAAATATAGGAAAGAAAGGGAAAGGGAGAAAGAGAAGAAGGGAGGAAGGAGTGGGAGCAGTCAAGGGAAGGAGGAAGGGAGGGAAGCAGCGAAGGAAGGGGCAGCCTGGCTTTAGCTGGTGGTAGTGGTAGCATGCTTCAGGTTTCTCTATCTTACAGGCTGACCTTGACATCAGCAGGACAGCCCCCTCGGGGAGTGTGATAGAAAGACGCCTGCTGGACAGCCACCATCAAAGCGTTTTTCTGAGCAGCTTGACATGCAAGGGTCACTTGCATATTTTCCACTCCTGAATGGAACAAGAGCTACAGAAAGAAAATATGAAAAGTATTAGGAATTTATCTCATAAAAAAAAAGAGGTAAAGTTGAGGGTTGAGATCACCACTCATTCAGCATATATATATTTTATTACATTTATACATACATATATATATGAATCAAAATGCAGAATGAGCTGAGATTCTTGTTTCTCAGCCACAAGACTGAATCTTTCTCTCTCTAGGCAGCATTTTATCTTGTGAAGGAAGCCCCCAGGCTCCATTTGCTCTGTAGCTGGACACTATCAGGTTTCCCCAAATGTCAAAAAAAGATGAGCAGACTCTGATAAACTAGCAAACATGTGCTCAGTGCCAGACTCTTGTAACACTGCCAAGATTAATGTTTAAAATATACACGCCACAAATACAAACCCACACATACATACATGGAAGCAAAGAAATCTGAGTGGCAGAGAAAAAACAGCACCGGGTTTAAAAGGATCAGATAAAAGCTCCAGTAACAAGTGTATATCTAAAAAGCTTGAAACAAAGATAGTTCATGACAAATGCTTCTTTTTAATACCTAATAGAAGTTATTGCAAGGGTGTTGCATTCTCTATAGTTCAAACTGGGCCAATGTGCACATCAAATAAGGCAAGGCTATCATCATCATCAAGTTGGAAGCTTTTCTTATATGTGGCAGCCAACTTTACATGAATTCAGTATTATGACTTTTTAAAGAAATACATGAGCAAATTGCTCAATTTTACTTCAGTTTCCTTTTTAAAAAATTAATAAAATAATTTACCTTAAGGATGGCTTCCTTCGTGTAAAAACTAAATTTGCCAACTTGGTTATCATCCACCTCAGAGATGGCTAAGACAAGAGTAGTAGGAGAATATCTGCAAGAAGAAACATGACATTGTTTCGATGTGTCATGCCATTTGCCAGGAGATGCCCTTCTGAGACAGAATGTCATGTGATCAGTTCTGGGACATCAGTAGTAGTAGCAAGTGCAGACATCATACAAGACTTGGTATTTCCATTCGCACGGCCCTGGGGTCTTTTCAATCCTTATTGGACTTGATCTCCTCTAGTTTCATTGTGTTTACCACCCACCCTGAAGTATTTAAAATTATTTTCTCTTGATCACCATTCTACTGTTTTCTCCCATTTTTCCTCTTGCCTTCTTGATCTTGAAGGGGTTCAGGACAGGCCTCATGAAGATGTGACACTTTGGCATGTGAATTATTTTAAGCCGAAGGAAACTGAGACCCTGTGGGCTCATGTGAAACTTTTACCTCTCCCTTAAAGAATTTAAATTAAGGGCCTTGACCATAATAGGAGTTATCACCAGAAATAACTTTTTATGACCTATCTCTAGAGAAGGGCAAACTTCTAAATACTGAACATCTGTTCTTATCATCCTGTGAATGACCTTCTTCCCCTCTAAAGCCCCAGGTGCCTTACCTCATCCTTAGCTCAGAAGGTTATTATTATCACATTTTTCCTTTCTGTCTCTGAATCACTTATGCATATAGAGTTCCCGTATGTATGGACATAATTAAATTTGGTTATTTGTCTCTTGATAATCTCTATTATGTTTCTTTGATTATTAGACCAGCTGAAAGAATCTAGAAGGGGAGAAGAAAGTTTCTTTCTCCCCCAAAACCTCATCTACTCAGGCCCCTCACTGACTTAGACCCTTTTGTCCACAACCTAAAAGTTGTTCAGTTCTCACTTTCTCACCCTACCCTAACAATCATCTAAATGTTCTTTGTAGCCATGTTTCTGCCTTGGGACATAGTCTTTTGTCCACAACTATGAAACGTCATTGAGTATTTTAATATCTATTAACTTTGTTTTATTTTTTAATCTGTAAATGGAGATATCACCTATCTCATATAGGGTTATGACAAATATTAAGTGGAATAATATGCATACATGTGCTTTTAAAAATGTAAGTCGCTATGTTCATATTTGATATATATGTTGTTAAAGAGGAACTCCAAATTAAGAAATTAACATACATAAAATAAATGCAAACTCAAGACACATGTTCCTTGGATGCATAAACCTTCCCCTGGTAATTCAGATCTTGCAGGCTCTCTAGATTATCATTGGGAGGACCAATCACCACTTGGCCAGGCCACAGAGGACCTGGGAAGTATGTGCTATTTGGTTGATTCTAGCTGAACAAAAATATGCTCTATTTCACAGCAGTGTAGAATACCAGCTCCATCAGGAGGCCCTTGAAGAGACAGATTGGAGCTTGGCTCCAAGTTGGAGACTTAGCCTTGCTTAAGGCCCAATTACACCTCCTGCCTTCAGCTTCTGTGAGAGATCTCTCTATCTTACTAGAAATTCTTTTTGGGTTTAGTTAGTGTGACAGGGTAGAGCAGGGGAGATTTTGCCCCCAGGGGATGTTTGGCAATGTCCAGAGACATTTTTGATTGTCACAAATGGGAAGAAGGGGTGCTACTGGCATCTGGTAGGTAGTGGTCAGGGGTGCTGCTAAACAACCCCTGATGCACACAGCCCACTAAAAGACAGAGCCACCCAGACCCAAATTTCAGTAGTGCCAAAGGTTGAGGAATTCTGGGATACTGTTTTGTCATTTTAACCTCCTTCATTTCAACCCATGCTCTCTCTCTGGGAAGAGGAATCCTTTAACGTATAAACACATCCAAGTTTTATTTTGAGCAGGGATTCACATTAGAAAAACAAAAGTGGCTTTCCCTTCTTGGAGTCATCTTTGCTTTCCTTGGGGTGAGTGGGGTCAGTACCAGGAATCTCCAAGGATAGAGCTAAGACCCTTGAGAAGGGCAGACTAGGAGAGAAGGAAAGTAGAGAGAGAGACAGGAGTTTCTTCTTAGCACACACCAAAGGCTGACTCTGTGGCGGGTGGGGCGAAGATTCCTTTTCTTGTCTGAATAGATTCATGATCTGTTACTGGTAAGAGTGTTTTCTTTCTGGCAATGAGCTCTACTTATGGGACATAAAAAAAAAGGTCTCACTGGTTTGAGTCAGCTTCTGTTATTGACCAACAAAAAAAACCTAAGTGTTGCCATGCATGTTAAATTTGTATATTGTGTTAGAGTTTCGAGGAAATAGTGCTCAACAAACTTGACTGACTTCTTCCTGGTCCCAGGGAAAGTGAGAGAAGGGACCTGGACTTCTAATCCATGGTTTTTGGCCCCATGAGACCAACACCCCTTTCTACTCAGAAGCAACACAGTTAACCTGAGCAGCTGCCTAAGTCTGTGATTTCATCTCATTTGAACTCTATGATCTGATTCTTCCATTTTTCAGTTACTTGGTGTTTTTAAGCCCAATTATTACCCCTGATTGAGAGCTTGTTTTTTCCCCTTATTAAGAAAGAGAGAGAGAGAGAGAGAGAGAAAAAGAAAGAAAGAAAGAAAGAAAGAGAGAAAGAAAGAAAGAAAGAAAGAGAGAAAGAAAGAAAGAAAGAAAGAGAGAAAGAAAGAAAGAAAGAAAGAGAGAAAGAAAGAAAGAAAGAAAGAGAGAAAGAAAGAAAGAAAGAAAGAGAGAAAGAAAGAAAGAAAGAAAGAGAGAAAGAAAGAAAGAAAGAAAGAGAGAAAGAAAGAAAGAAAGAAAGAGAGAAAGAAAGAAAGAAAGAAAGAGAGAAAGAAAGAAAGAAAGAAAGAGAGAAAGAAAGAAAGAAAGAAAGAGAGAAAGAAAGAAAGAAAGAAAGAAAAAATAAAAAAGAAATGGCATTATGGCAGGTAGAATATAAGGAAGAGAATTTAGAAATACAATTGCACTTACGTGTCCACTGGTAGCAGAAATTATTTTTCACTGGTCATTCATTCTACCATTACATTATTTTTATTTTGACCCTCTTAAGGCTCACCTGTCTATGCAATCACTGTCTTCCAGCAAAGAGGTGATAAAGATAGGAGGTAGATGGTCCACCTTGTCTTTGTGTGATGCAAATTCAAACTGAACAGGCCTCAGATACAAATGGAACTCTTCAAAACCCATCTCCTGGGCCATTTCCTTATAGAGACTAAAAGGGAGGAGGGAGGGAAGAGTCAACAGCATTTTCTATTATTTTCCACTAAAAGAAAATTAAGTGGTAAGAAAAACAAAACATGTACGTAAGCACAAAAGCAAAAGGCAAAACAAGAGAAAGCCAAGTAGGGTAGGAAGTGAATGAGTCACAAAAGTCTTGTGTCTGCTCCATGCTATGACGGTTAAACAAAGTAGTAAAGTAGGAGGAGATATGCTCGGGCACTTGCCCAACTCTCACTTCCTGCAAGCTGGCTTCTGCCCTCAGAGCCCTCATCTGGTCACCAATATCGCTCTCAATGCCAGGCTCACAATCTTCTCTCAGAGACCTTCACGGCTAGCCTCTGTCCCCGCCTCAAGGATCATCTTTGTTCCCCTGGGTCCAGCGTCTCCACGTTCCTGCCTCACGACCACTCTCAGTCTTCATTGGCTTCTCATCCTCTTTATTTTCAACTTCTCATGTTTCTGGGATTCCATACCTGGCCTTCTTCTCATCCTCTCCATCCCCTCCTCGAGGACTCTGTCTTCTAACCCCATGCCCTACTTATCACCCTGCAGTGTGAGAATCTGCAACCCCATTTCTGTCCTGCCTCAACTCTGAGCTCCTCTCCACATTTCCATATGTGCCAGTGAGGCTACATTCAGATGTCCCTCTGGCATTTCAGCCTTGCATGTCTAGAATGGCTTCCCCTCCTCTCTCCTCCCCCTTCTAACACATTTCTCCATCTTGAGAAGTTGGCATATTAAGGCTGAGTCCAAACGGCACTGATATTAGTTTGCTAGGGCTGCTGTAACAAAGTACCATAAACTAGATGGCTTCCACCACAGAAATTTGTCTCGCAGTTCTGGAGGATGGAATTCTGAGGTCAGGGTGTCAGCAGGGTTGGTTGCTTTTGCAGGTTATGAGGGAAGGATCTGTTCCAGGCCTCCCTCCTTGGCTTATAGTTGGCGATCTTCTCCTTGTGTCTTCCCTCTGTGTGTGTGTCTGTGTCCAAATTTCTTCTTCTAATAAGGACACCAGTTATACTGGATTAAGACCCACCCACGTTAACTTCATTTTAACCTGATTACTTTTGCAAAGACTCTATCTCCACATAAGATCACATTGAGGTCCTGGGGATTAGAACTTGAACATATAAATTTGGGAGTGGGGCACTCAATTCATCTTATAACAGTTTCTCTTCTATGAAGCTTCCCTGATCCACTTAAAAAGAAGGAAATACTCCATTTTCTTTGCTCTCATGATATTTTGTTAATATGCTACTAAAGTAGCATATTAAACTGTATTAGGGGTAAATTTACATTTTGAGTTCCTTGAGAGCAAGGATCAGAAATTATGGGAAGGTAGTACCATAGAATTTAATAAATATCTTGATTCATGGTTTAAATTTGTATATTCTTTGAATACACTTTCTAGTTATGTAACCTTAGGTGAATTACTTAGCTTTTCTGAGTCTCTACTTTCTTACTGGTAAATGTTTGTAAGCTACCTCATAAGAATATTCTGAGAATTAAATGAACTAATACACATAAAGTGCCCAGTACAGGTCTAGGCCACAACAGGCCCTCAAAAATGATTGGTGGTAGATTATTGGACCCTTTCATCTATAGGAGATCAGAACACAACAGAACTCATACATGTTTACAACAGACCCTCTAGTTCCATATTTTTCCTGCTTGTGGGACATATCTGCTTGGATGTCTTACTATCATCTCACATACCTAAAACCTAAAACCTAAAACTTAACTCATTCATCTTTCTCTCCCTCTACCTACTGAATCTCTCATACCTCCGTCAGGCCTGGATGCTGTTACTAACTCAGCTTCTGCTTTCTCTAGGCCCTCTACTGCTTCTGCTCTGCTGTTCAACTTCGTTATATTCAAGAGAAAATCCAATCAATATTCACTGAGTGCTGGGGCTCAGGCCTTACCCCAGGTGATGGAATACCATGGAAAACCAAGTGGACAAGGCTTTTGCATTCAGGGAGCTTCCACTAGCAGGAAAACTAATAAACCAATATTAAGCATCTTATTACAAGGCAATGTGCTGAATGAAGAGGAAGGCCAAGTGCCAGGATCCAGCCTAGCTGAGTGGTCAGAGAGGCACATGGGGAGGTCTAGATGAGAGAAGGAGTAAGGAAGGCAGGTGATCATTTCAGTCATTTAGGGGGTCCTCAAACTGGATTCTGACTACTCTGGGGACACAAAGTGGGGGAAGGCTGGTTGGCAGGGAGACCCCATCTAGATACTCAGTCCCCCTATTACCGAGCTAAGTGTACACTCTCCAGACTCATTTCTATCAGCCGGTGGCGGAGGGTCACAAGTTCTAGTAGTTTGGCAAACGTATCCAGGAGCAGCATGTGAGAATCTTGGCCTTGGTTCTGTTTTTCAGCTGCTGCAGACTTGAATGCAAGAAGGCCTATCTCCTCCACGAGAAAGGGATCTCCCATTACTTTAGCTGAAAAAAGCTGAAAGAAAACAAAGTACTCTTTAGAATATAAAAAAAAAAAAAGAAATTTTCCATATTAAGAAAACTACTATCAGTGGCACAGACTCTGGGCTCGATTCCTGGCTCTGCCACTTATAAACTGTGAGATTTGGGGCAATTTATTCCATTTTGCTGTCTCTTAGCTTCTTCATCTGTAAAGTATAGATAAGGAGAATAACAGTATATAACACGTGTTAAAAGATAATAATTACCTGATAGGGTTGTTGAGGGGTTAAGTGAGTTATCAGATGGAAAAATGCCTGATACATAGTATTTGTTGTTATCATTATTATAAACATTTTAAACCAAAATAAAGAATAGAAATGGCAAAGACAACCTAAATAGAAATAGAAGTCCCTGATATTTTTCAAGTATTTTAGTGGTCAATAATAATAATAATTTCTTATGCACCACTCTACTGCAGTTTCAAAATTTCAAAGTATTTTCACAAATATTTACTCATTTTTATTTTTACACGATCCCCGCGAAGCAGGCATCACAGATACCATTTTATCAGTAAGGGATCTGAAACACAGCAGTACCAAAAGTAAATTTAGGCTTCCTAATTCCAAGTTCAGTAGTTTTACAGTAGACTAAACTGCCTTTACAGTATTCCTCCACTCAAAGCCAGCTCAGGGCAATTTCTGTAATCACCACGTTGTTCTTTAATGCACTCCTGCTAAGGTCGGTTCCTCTGCTGTGTGCTACCCTCTAATATGCCACTCCCAGCAAGAACCCCGTAATCTGCTTTTCATGATTTGTCTCCCTAAATGTTCATAAGCTCTCTTATCTGTCCACTTATCTAACAAAGGCCATGTCTATTCAAGGTGCAATTTCTAGATTCCTGAAGTCTTCCGAAGCGATAAAGAAATTTATTAAACACTTACATGTCTTTTGAGGGTAATAGCTGCCTCCCTTTCTGACCTAATATAAAGTTGAATCTGAATATTTATAATTTCTAGGTCTAAATTTGAACACATTTTAAAAATAATAATTATGGAAACTATGTGACAGCTATCTCAGGTATTCACTATGATTTATAAGAGAATTTAAAATACATTTAAAAATCGGGTACCATAGTAATACAATGTGAAAAGAATCCTCAATAAATGATAATAGGATACATGACTGGTAATTTGGGGAAAAATTCTGAACCGTACCTCATAACACATACACACAGACACACACACTCCAGGTGGAATAGGAAAGGAGTTAAATATTTTTTAAATAACATGAAAATCTTAAGAAATTAGAATAATATAAGACAAATATGAAACATCTAGGGGAAGATTTGCTTTCTGGATTTAGGAAGAGAATTGCTTTCCGTGATTTAGGAAGAAATCACAAAGGAAAAGATCAACAGATCTTACTATATGAAAATAAGTTTCTGTTAAAAATAAAAGACAAACTGTGGGAAATACTTGCAGAAAATATCATGGACAAAAGGGTTAAGATTTTATTTTTAAAAAGCTCATGTGAGTGGATAGGAATGACATTGAGATTCCAAGAGATAAATAAACAGAGGGAAAGAACAGAAAATGTACAAAAAAAAATAATAATAATAAAACAGCTAGTGACAAGACATTTGGAAGAATAATCTCAACAAATAGCAAGGAAATGAAAAATTAACAGTGTAATGCCACCTTTTATACATAAGTATATATTAGCACAGATTTTATATGCTTACAGCTGGTACTGTACAGTGTAGCAGAACTGGTACCCTTATACTTTATTGGTGGCATTATAATTTGGCACAACTCTTCTAGAAAGCATCTGCCAAAAGGTATCCAAAGACTTAAATTTTGGTTCAGTAAGTTCACTTCAAAGAATTTATCAAAAGAAATTGATTCAAAATATGGAGAAATCTATAAGCAGAGAGATGTACCTGATAGCATTTTTAATAAAAGTGAAATTTTGGAAACTACTTGAATGTCCATCAAGAGGGAAATAGTTAGATGATTCATCACTTAAGGGAATTATGTGGTCATAAAAGTGAGTATAAAGACTAGTTAGCAATATAGAAAAAGATATAATATAATGTTAAGTGAGAAAAACAGGAGATATAATTATGTACAACATGCACATGAAAAATATTTAAACACAGAAAAATAATTATAAATGCACTTGAGCGATTATATTTAGGGTTTTTTTTTTTTGCTTTCCTCTTTTGATAAAATTCTGTATTATATTATTTTTATCAACTTAAAATTAAGTTAAATACAATAAAATTTTAGTTTGGGAAAGAGGGGATAGGAGGCTGAGCCAGACATATATTTTTGGCGGTGGAGGCCTTTGAGAGTTACTTTGTCATACAGCAAGTACCCACACAAAGTAAGGCTGAATTGAAACCCCAGGCTCAATTGTGATGGCCTTAACAGAAAAAGCAAATAATTAAAATCCAACTACAAACACCTTGTAAATTGTCAGGCCATAGTTGAAAACACAGATCATTAGAGTTGGAGGGGTTTTAGAGATCATCAGGATCACCCACTGCCATTCTCTTTCTAATACACAAACAAAATGTCACGAAATAGGAAAGTGAGGCTCAGAGAGGCTCAGAGACTTGCTCTGGGTCACATAGAGAGTTAATGGCAGGCCTGAACTTGACTCCTCACTCAGTCCTCTCTCTCCTCACTAGATCTCAGCTCAGGACAAAAAGAGTAAATTTTAGAAAGAGTCTTAGTGGAAAGAAAAATATAATTTTTAATGAAAAATGCATATTGTTAAAATATAAATAATAAACCAGAAAACACTTCCTACATACCTATGTACATTTCCCTTTTAATTTTCATTAAAGTGGCATTCTGATAAACTAGAAACTTTGACCAAAAATGAAAAAAAAGTTACATAAAAGTGTTGGCAAGGCCTAGGACTATGATCTGTCTCTGGCCAAGTAGGGGAGGAATAGAGCCAAACAGAAAAACAATGCTAAGTAGTAACATCTGGGAGGAAACCTTCTCTTTGCCAAGGATCCCCCTCCTCCCTTCAGAAAACCTACATCTTTCTGGAGCTGTGCGCTGTACCAGGACTCGGGCCTGGTTGGGGTGAGCCACACATCCAGGGCCAGACACAGCACACGTCTTTCCAGCAAGGCAAGGCCACTGGCTGATGTGGGCCTGCAGTTGTGGCGGGCCTCCTGGAGAAGATGCTCGAGAGCTCTGGGGATGAGCGATGCCAGGCCCAGGGAAGGGTGGAACTCCAGTAGATAAATGTTTTTCAAAGCTGGGCTTAAAAAGAGGAACAACTGATGACAATTTTACACAATAAAGAACTTGCTTCCAAAGATACTTAAATTTTATATTTTTAAAGACCAATAAAACAGCTCCTTTAAACTAGGGCATTATAAACAAAACAAAACTGGGAAGTCGAAGGGGCCTCAGAGGCTGTCCAGGGAACCCATCAGAGTATACAACATGCTCTTTGCTTTATTGTGAACCCTTTTAAAATTGGAAGACATATGAGTTTATTCTAAAAGCCCAGTAAGAATAAGATTCTTAAACTGTATACGGCAAATTTGTCAACATTCAATATTGTAATCAATATTTAGTCAAATATTTTAAAACAAAGTAACTCAAAAGTGACTAAATATTAAATGAATAATTCCATGGTTAGTTTCTATTTTTCACTTTTTTTTTTGTCTGTGCCCTTCATTGTCTTCTGATTACCAGTCTCAGGGATCTGGGGGGCAGCCCCAGAAGTGGGGAGCTAAGTTACTTTAATCTTCCTTTGGGACATATCACCTGAGTCTTTATTCCTTTTTTCCCTAAAATAGTAATGGACAAAACCAATTTTTAAATTCTGTACACAACTGATGAAATCATTCATGTTTGCCCTAAAGATGTTATATTTTATAAATGAAAGGCCAGAAATGATAAAATGCTTTCTCTGGGTTTTCCTTTGGACATAGAGGACACAGCACAAGTCAAGGGCCTTTCTATACATACATAGAACTAAAGAACTTAAATATTCCTTAACTTTATGCAAATGGATTACTCTTAGTCCTAGATCTTAAAAAATACAATCCTAAGGCAGGAAAGGAAACTTATCAAGCAAATTCTATTTGCTTTTGAGCAATTCCGACAGGTCTTAGTATCCATAGAGGCCTTGCTAGCATGTTCTGCCTAAAACCATTTCCTAAACAGTAGACTTTTGCCATATAGCAAGTTGCACATACACGGCTGGTGTCTCAAGCTTATTACAGTGAAGATATCAGTCCTGAGAAAGGTCTGTGGAGAAAATGTAGTCTTGTGCTTGGGACTCCCAAGGCTCTTTCTCAGGAGACAAGGTTAGAATCTCAGTTATGAAATCTTATGACACCCTGCTGGTCTCCAAGATGATACCATGACCTACTGCAGCAATTTCCCACCAAAAGTCTGCCTGTACTATTGACCTTTATACTTCACAGGAGCATAGGGCCATGCCTCTGTTGTTCACATCTATGGCTTCACTTCCTAGCACACTGCCTAGTACTTGTGGGTGCTCAACAAATATTTGTTGGATGTTGAAAGGAGCTGGACAATTTCTCCACCCATTTGAAGGCAATAGAGATATCGTGTTCTTGAGCCACATAGATCAACTTGGGCCTTGTCGCCTACTTCCCAGTTCCCTCTGTCCTCAAAGGCTGGAAGGGATTGGGGAGGCATACTACATATCAAGGGGGTGACTTAAAGTATGTCCTCTCTCTGGTCTCAATAAACTTAATTTACTCCTTTAAGGGTAGGGGGTCACATGGTGAGTCTGCAAAAACCTTTTTGGTAGTACTTGCTATAAAAAATAATTTCCTTTTTGAGAAACTTTTAAGCACATCCAAGTTTCATATATGTCTGCTTGTGTGAAACCTCTGATTTAAACCTCTGATGGCATTTCAAGAGCAACTACTTTTTTTAGGGACTTCTTAAGGGAGCGAAGTTTCTGTGCCCCGTGGCATAAATTTAAATTCAAGCCCCCTATTCTTCATTACTTACAAAGCAAACAGATATTGAAGGTGTAAGGGAATCCCTCTTCTGTGACTATTATATTCTCTCATCTACCCAAAGACTTGAAAAGTGCTTTATAGAAAAGTATTTAGACTTAGCATCATACTCTTAACTTATCTAGAAGATTAAATGTCACATATGTAAAGACAACACCAGCCTACCAGCTATTGTTGATGGAAATAAGTTGTTTGCAAATTATGTTAAAGGGAAGTCCAAAGTTATTGCTACCATCTGGATGGCCTTCTCGCCAAAGCCTCTGGACGTACTCCCGCTGACACTCTATCTAGAAATGTAGCATAAAAGTTAAAATTAGAAAAGTTAAACTTTCCCATGGATGTGAGTTACGAGCCTTGGCATGAGGAAAACATCAATGCTTTGTATCTCTTAATTATTTGACTCATTTTCACCAAGACATAATTTCGAGGATCCAGTCTTACAGGAACATGCTGGTCTCTCAGTCTGATCCAAGGGTCAGCTGAGATAAACAAAGGTAACCAACTTCAGGCCATCTTAAGGGGCATAAGAAAACTTTTTGTCAAATAATCGACTACAAAGAAAAAATTCTAACCAGGCCTAAGGTAAATGTACTGCAACAATCTTTATCCCCTACTTACTTCCTGCCACTAGCTTTTCCCCAGAGGATATATATGGTGATTGTTCTCTTTAGTGTCCTAAAAATAGTCGCAACATTTTTAAAAAATACATAATTTTATACATCAATGCCTTGTAAAGGGGTGTGTTTACTCTTTCTTTCACTCTATAATCTAATGAAAACAACTTGTGGACCATTAAATGTGATTAGGGTCAGAAACCTCCTTTGAAGACTGTAGTTATGCTTGGAATTTAACAAAGCAAATGAGCTTACAAATAAACATGCTGTACATGCCGCCCTAGAAAACCCAGATTCCGGACCCACGATGAAAAAAAACCCCACTATTTTTAGTTCTGACCATGTTTCCCATCCTCTTCTCGCATGCAATATTTTAAAACCCAACTGTACTCACGTGCTGGTTGAGGATGCCCCTCACTAGCTGCAGGTGAAGCCTCAGGCAGGCGCATTCATCTTGGTAGGCTTTAATGAAATAAGGGTGGCTGAGATCAAACCTTGGGCACCTGTGCATGATGTCAGTGATCACTTGTGCTAAAGCAAACCTCTCCTCAGGGTCCAACACATGCTGGTAGGCTTCAAAGTAACTGTCAAGAAGCTGCAAATAAGGTTAATAGTCAGGGAATAGCAGAAGCAGCCCTAGGGCCCAGCGAAGGGAGGTGAGGCCTCGCCCACTCAATGCTTTAGAAAGACCCTGGGCACCAGCAGGAGAGACTCGGCACTGAATCTCTCTGGGTACCAGCCTGCTGCCGGCAGCTGCAGCACCAGTGCAACTCAGAGCAATTAGTAAACCCACAGATA